TTCACTAATATTGAAATAGTATGTACATCAATATTTATTAAAGAATCTTAATAATTTTCTAACCTATATATTTTTCTCTCTTTTAATCGTATTCATTGTTATGCAAATTTTGAAACCGGTATTTATATTATTATAATTATATATAATAGAATGTATAATATTATGGTTTTATAACAAAAAGCATTTAAGATTAAATAATTATTTTTGTCGTAATTGTATTGTTCTTTCATGATTTTCAGATCGATTTAGATACAATTGATGTTAGTAATTTAAATAGACAATTTTTATTTCAAAAAAAACATGTGGGAAAATCAAAAGCAGATGTTGCAAGAGAAACAGCATTAACATTTAATCCTGATGCAAAAATAACTCATTACCATGACAGTATTACAACGTAAGTATTTTTATATAGTTATATATACACTAACAAGTAGTTTTAAAATAATATTTTAAATTATAATATTTTAATCATCTATAAATTTACAGTCCTGATTATGGAGTATCATTTTTTAAAAAATTACTTTAGTTATGAATGCTCTTGATAATAGAACAGCTAGAAATCATGTAAATAGAATGTGTTTAGCAGCAGATATACCATTAATTGAATCTGGTACAGCTGGTTATGAAGGTCAGGTAGAACTTATAAAAAAAGGATTAAGTCAATGTTATGAATGCACACCAAAAGCTGCACAAAAAACTTTCCCAGGTTGTACAATTCGTAACACACCTAGTGAACCAATTCATTGCATAGTATGGGCAAAACATTTATTCAAGTAAGTTTATAAATTAATTTTTGTGTTAAAAAATATATATAAAGGTATAAATATAATATATAAAAATACTTAAATTTTTAAATTTATAGTCAATTATTTGGTGAAGAAGATCCTGATCAAGATGTTTCTCCAGATACTGCTGACCCAGAAGCAGCAGGTAAAGATAATATTTAAGTAATATATACATAATATATACATGTAATATATACATAATATGTAATATATATATTACATACACATTATATATACATTATATTACATAATTAATATGTAATATATACATAATAAAAATATATACATAATATATATATATATATATATTCATAAAAATGTATTATAGATTCTGCAGGTCAAAGTGCTTTAAATTCAGAATCAAATGAAAAAGGAAATGTTGATAGAACATCAACTAAAATTTGGGCACAATCATGTAATTATGATCCAGAAAAATTATTTACAAAATTATTTCATGATGATATAAAATATTTATTAAGTATGGATAATTTATGGAAGAAAAGAAGACCGCCTATTCCTTTAAATTGGAAAGAATTGCCAGATGGAGGTTTGTAGAATAATTATTTTAAACTTATGTTTTATTAAAAACAATTATATTTGTTTAAAGTCTTTCATAATATAGTACCAGGTTGCAGTAAAGAAATTAATGAACCTGGCTTAAAAGATCAGCAACGATGGAGTATTTCTAAATGTGGAAAAATATTTGCTGAATCAATCAAAAGCTTAAGCAATACTTTAAAAATTTCACAAGAAAAATCATCAAATAATCATTTGATTTGGGATAAAGATGATCCAAGTTCAATGGATTTTGTTGCTGCATGTGCCAATATAAGAGCTTACATTTTTGGTATATCTCAAAAAACAAAGTTTGATATAAAATGTAAGAAAATAATCATTACATTCTAAAAACAAAGAAATTGTACATTTTTTAACTTTAATTATATTTTATAGCAATGGCAGGAAATATAATTCCTGCAATCGCAACTACAAACGCAATAGTTGCTGGTTTAGTCGTTCTTCATGCATTCCGTATTCTCGAAAATAATTTAAAAGCATGTAGATCTGTATATTTACGTTCGAAAATGAATCATCGTAATCAGTTATTAGTACCAGAGAAAAATGTTAATCCACCAAATCCAAAATGTTATGTATGTGCACCTACGCCAGAAGCCATATTAGCAATAGATACATCTAAAACAACAATTAAAGAATTACTTGAAATAGTATTAAAAAATAGATTGAACATGATTGCTCCAGATGTTATGATAGATGGTACTGGTTCTGTTGTTATTAGTAGTGAAGAAGGAGAAACTGAAGAAAATAATGATAAACTCTTAGAAGAATTAGGAATTAAAGATGGTACCATTCTTAAAGTTGATGATTTTCAACAGAATTATTCATTGACTATAACCATAGTTTATAGAGAACGTCCAAGTTTAAAAGGCGATAGTCCTGATTTTCTCATCTTAGCTGATGAAAAAGACCTCAAACCTAAAGAAGACAATGATTTAATAAAACCATCTACTTCAAATGGCCAGGTAATTAAAATAACATATATGTTATTTTAAATGTGTTAATGTTCATGAATTTAAATATATGTACTAACTAAAAATTTTATTCAGGTGGAGTCATCTGAAGAAAATGTAATGATTGTTGAAACTGAAACTGTTTCATTGGATACAGTAAAGAAACGTAAAACTAATTCTCTTGAAGAAACTGTGTCTCCAAAGAAAAGGAAAGTGGAAGTTCATAATATAGATGATGATATTTCTATTATTGAAAATGATATAAATAATGATACTGGTAATACAAAATCAAACGTTAAAATACATAAAAATTCAGAAGATGATGATTGTTTAATTGTGCATGATGATAATATGCAAACAACTGCAACTTCGCAGTAAATGAATTAAATATAAATTGATCATTCAAATTTTTTCAAAGTTAAATTTTCTAAAATTAATATACTGATCAATAAAATTTATATAAAAAATATATATTTGTACAAAAAAATACATATGTATTAATTCTAGAAGCAGTTTCATTTTATGTTTAAAATTTTCATATAATTTTATTACTATCATTCATATATAAAAATATTTTTGTTCATAATAAGTTCATAGTATACTTGATTAAGAATAAAAAATATATATATAATATTAATCTTATCCAAGTAAAACGTATTTTTATTTTTACAAATATTTATAAAAATACGATATTATGTTTATAGTATACCATTTTATATATTATAGTTATGGTATACATTTTTATACAAAAACGAATAAATACATTTTTCTTACTATAAAATATTATATTTTTCTATTTGATTAAAATTTTCCATATTTTTTATATGCACAACTTATATATTGATTAACATTATAATTATACATTTCAAAATCAATTTTATATTTTTCATATAATTTCAAAATTATATCCCGTGTTAAATTTGCAAAATATTTACATGTAGTATCGAAGTTCGTATATCCACCTCGTGTTTCCTCTAACTTAGGAAAATATACTTTATTTTTATCCAAACCAAATTTAGAAAAAATATAATTTATTTGTCCATATGTATAATCATCTAACTTTAAAACGAAATTATATCGTATATTACATATAGCACAATGTTTATAATATTGAATCCAATGAACATCTTCTTCAGAACTTTGTAAAAGCCATTCCAAAAATTCTTTAAAAGTTGGTATTATTTTTAATCTTCACAGAAATGAAATACATATTAAAAAACTATTAACTAAACAAAACATTTTTATTATTGTACATAACCATTATACCTTTTATCAGATGTAAATACTCTCTCTCGAAAATTACCAGTTGTCGTATTCGAATGAAACAATTCAGGTCTAGTAAAACGAAATATTTTTTCTGTATAAATCCAAGCTTGTGCAGTATATTTTGTATTATCTGCTATTCGATCTCTAAAAATTAAAAAAATCATTTCATTCAGTAATTTAAACACATTATACGTTGAAACATTGAAAAATAATATACCTATATGATGACACAAGTCTTTGAAAAGGATGTCGTACCACGAGAAGTTTGAATATTTTTGTATTATTTGATATAAATTGTAATTCCTTTAATGTTTGTGGTACCAAAATGTCAATTTCTCTATGAATAATTTATAAGTTATAATAATAATCATATAAAAAATTAATAAGATGTAATTACCTATAATAATTTCGTGTGGGTAGACGATTTTTTAAATCTGCAAATAATTTTGTGAAACTTGTTGAAGCTACTTTTCGAATCCAGCAATACATTGTTTTATGTTCAGAATTATATAAAAAATGCTTTCTTATTAAAGGAGTTTTTAAATTATATTTCATACATACATTTGAAATTTGTTGCAACATTGTTGCACTTTCCTATTTAATAGAATATTGACATTGTTTATATATAATTTACATTATATATACATATTTTTTACATTAAAATAATTACATTTAAATAATGTAATAATGTAATGATTTACTTACTTGCAAATTAATTGATTCTCCTTTCATTTCATCATACTCTAAAAGTTCTATCTCTAAATTAATTGGTTTTATAACAGATTGAGAAATTAAAGAACATTCTTGCTTTGTTTGATTATACTTTGCAAAAAACAATGAATTTAAATATTGTGTTAAATAAGAATTCTGTTTTAATCTTAATAAAATAACGTAAATTATAATGTATAAAATAATACATAATATGCATTTTACAAATTGAATTTTAAATGACATGATTAAAACTGAAATATTCTAAGTCAATTATCGAGATTAAACATCCGTTTGTATGAACGGAATGAAAGATAAAATTTATCTCTTAGTTTCATAATTTCCTAATTTCCTATAATGATGACAAAGGAATGTAATATTATATTTATAAAAAAGGTAAAAGAGAAACAAAATCAACTTACTTTTTTAAATCTTTACTACGAAATAACGCCAAAAATGTATTATATAAATCAGTGACTTATATTCGCAATTAGGCTGTTTCTGTAACTAATAATAATATTTTAACAATTATATTAATTTAAGTGATCTATATTGTTAATTGTGAAAATATTTTTTTTGTAAATGATTATTTTTATAAATTTTTTTACGTGAAAAGATTGTGGCTGACATTAAGTAAATTATTTATTTCTATTATTTTGCAACATTATAAAAGTAAATTTTTATCGATTTAGGCAGTGATCTCGTCAAAATCTTGTTATAATTGTATGAAATTTGATTATGAAAATTCATACTTCTATTAATGCAAAAACAGATATAATTAGATTGATTCACAATTCAAAATTTTTTATTTACAAAATACTCAAATATCAATACATGTAAAAATTATAAAAATATACAAAAAATACTTAAATTGAAATTAGAAATAATAAAAAAAAATTAGAAAATAAATGAAGTATATTAATCAAAGAATATTGTATTTTTTATAAATTATTTTTCACTAATAAATGCATATAATAAGATTTTGATGAATTGTGAATCAATTTTATAATTTCAATTTTATCATATATGTTTTACAATTACAAACAGATATAATAACAGAAAAATAATTATATTATTTTTACAATTTCATTAATTTTAATCATCTGATTAAAAATACGAATCATTTGATGCTTCTTAATATATCACTTCATAAAAAACGATATTATTTTTTCTATTAATTCTATTAAAAATTATGTTATATCTAATATATGTATGTATATAATTAAAATTTCAAATTATTTTTGTTTGAGTTATTAATACAAATAATCGGTTAAACACTATTAATTATAAATGTAACGATACGATACATAATTATAAATGTCGCGATACCTCGAAAGCCCGTATAATATGTGCATAAATGAAAAATGAAAGAATAAGTGAATGAAGATATTAAGAAGATATAATGAAGATTTCAAAATTTCTTATCTACGATCTCTATATCTATGATGATGATCACGAGAGGATCGATGATCACTATGACGACTATGTCGACTCGCTGTTCTCCACAAAAATTCATCTACACTTCTTTCATAGCTACGTTTTTCTAGAGCAGAAGCCGCTGCGCTGTAGTCAGGTGGTAATGGTAAACCATCATAATATCTGGGTGGTGGTGGTGGTGGAGGTAAAGAATCATATGGATGTGGTGCAGCATAAGGAGGTAAAGGAGGCAATTGATGTTGCATAGTACGCATATAATCTGCAACATACGCTTCAGCTGCTGCAGCCACACCTAATCCTGGACTACCATATCCTCTAATAATATAAACAAATTTTATAGTTATTAAAAATAATATATTTAAGTCAAGACGATTATATATCAAAACACATACGTACTTAGAATAAGGAGAATCGCTTCTATTAAACCAAGTAGCATATCGATGATGATGATGGTCTCTTGATCCTCTATGTTCATTACCAGCTAAATGAGATCCTCTAGCTAACGAAGCTAAACGAGATCGTGAAGTTAAGAAAAGTCTACGACCTCTACCACCTCTTGAGCGTAAAAATCTAGGACTACTATTAACTGGTCTATTATCACGATATGAACGAGACTTCGTAATATGTTTTGCTGCTTCCTTAGATTTTCTCAAAATTGGTGTCATTTCAATTCCTAAAAGATTTATCAGAAAAATTATAAAAAATATATTTTTTTTTTATTATAAGAAAAACTATACATATATTTTAATTTACCTTCATCTTCTGGAAATAATCTACATAATTCTTCTGCAACTCTTGGTTCAATTTCTTGGCCATCACGTCCGATTTTTACTTGTTTACCATCATTCCATGGATTATATAAATGTAATGTAGCCGTAAATGGTAATTCTTTCCTACATATCCAGTCAACTTTAAATACACCACCTAAAGCTTTTGCAGACAATCCAGGTGGTAACACCTAAAATTTATATACACTTCTTTCCTAACAATATGTAAAATAAATATCTTTAATGAAAAAAATATATTTAATTAAATATACAAACCCAAGAAATTGGTGCTCCATCTCTTCTAGATTCTGTACTTAATCTTGCAAAACCAGCAAATTTTCCTGATTCTTTTACAGAAAATATAAGCAGAACATTTCTTGATTCTCTATAAGCTTGATTTAAATTGGCTTCATTTTGTGGTAATGTACTCCACACTCCTTTAGCTTTTGATAATGTAACATTTTCAGCATTGTTTGATTTGATGATGAAAAATCTGGTAAAAAAAACTTTAAGACATGTTCCTGGTATTTATATTATTGTACTTATCTAAATATTTAAGCAATTTACGATGCTAATTTACATTAATTTTATATATATGAAATAGAAAAAAATATATATATAAAATAGAAAAATATATATATAAAAAAAGAAACAAAAATATTGTATTTTAAAAAGTAACCAACCTTGCATCCCTAAATAAGTAATTTAATTTTGTAGCATAATCATAGCTCTTAGTAATTCCTTTTTCTTTAGATCTTGCACGTTTTGCTTCAGGACTAGAAGACTTAGAATCTCTGGATCTAGCACGTTTTCCTCTGTTTTTACGATTGCGTTTATTATCTCCACGTGAAGATTTTGTGGAAACAGAGCTTATACTTGGTTGACTAGAATCAGAATTTGAACTGCTAGATGAAACTTCACTACGTGTATCATAAGTTTCATCTGCAGCAATTTTTAATTCATCCACTATATCATTTTCGCCGCAGCTCAGATTTAAGTTGTCCCCATCTGTATTATTGTCCATATTTTCACTTTTTATTTGATCACTTTCACTATTGCTCAAATGTATGTTGTCATTTGTCCCGTCATCCAGGCTTTGTACTTCTGGATTTTTCGGGTTTTCTTGTATGAAGCCAATGTAGTTCTGGTGCCTTTAAACTTTTTCTGAAACGCAAATATAAAAAAGGTCTTACTAGATGGATATCCAGTATGCAATAATATTTGTCCAAGAACAATATCATATTTGAATGGATCTTGTAGATTTTATGATAATTATGTAGGAAATAATGTAGTAACATTTTTAGTATATGAGAAGAAAAGTTCAGAAGATTGCACATGAAATCCGATTTAAAGTCACTGTGATAAAAGATTAAAAAGTCCATTTATCAAAAACTTTGATGTTAAAATTGTCCTTATGCAGTTTAATTAAAACATTTATAAGTTTCATAAAAGTTTTCAATATATATCTACTATCACTGCAAGACTTCAAATATTTCTTGCTTCAAATGGATATAAATTATGCCTAATATTCCTAAAGTTTTTGTTTCGCTAGAAACAATGTTTATGAAAGAAAAAGTTCCTCTTTTTAACAATTCACGAGCATATATGTCCATATATAAGTTAAAAATAAATATGTTTTATATTTAAAGTTGTAGAAATTTTTTTTTCTTTAATTTAAGAATATAGTAAACACAATTCTTGTTGCTCTATTAGAACACAAGTATTTCTTTCAAACTTTGTATATAAAAGTTTATTATAAGTAAATAGTCTTGCTAAAATATATTTTTTTAGCCTATTTAATGTAAGAAGGCGAGGAGTCTTTGAGTTTTCTGTATTTCAAATAATAACACATCATGCTCGTTTGACGTCTCTATGCAGTCTTTTAAAACGCGAAGGCTATGCCTAGAAAAGTTCGTTGTAAATTTTATTAATAGCAACATCAGCACCACAAAACATACTCAAAACCATCATTTTCGCCATTGATTTTATTAAAAAAGTTCATATTTTGCAAACATAAGTCTTTGATGTTATAAACCCTTTACGCAGCTCGTACACACTTACGTGCACACTCGTTCTTCACTTAACACACTTCGCACCTCACGCAAGAATGCTCAAAGATTACTGTATATGTATTTAACATTTATTTCTGTTATTTCTCTGCACGATGTACACAGCAGATTTTCCACAAGAGATTGTGCTTTTTTTTCCTTAAAAACACAATATCCAATTATCTCCTTACGGATGAATAAACCATGGCGACCATTATGTGACGTGTACGTTATGATCGATAGAAAGAATTAGTCGAAAACTAAAATAAAGTTTTAATTAATTTTGAGAAATATTATTTTTATTATTTTTTTATTTCCAAAATTATATTTATTTACTAACTTACATATCTGATATAAAAATATTTTTTCTTACATATACAAATTAATAAAATTTTGTATAGCAATAATAGCAAGTTCTTACATATACATACATATGTATTTTTTTTTTAGATATATAGTATTTTTAATTTATTATTGAAATTTATTACTATTGAAACTTGTATTTATATTATTGTTTGGCATTGGTACAATACATTTAAATATTAAATTATAAATATAAAAAAACATAGAAGAGATAAAATATTTTTCTTTGTATAAAATCTTTTAAAATTAAAATCCCTAGTATTTATGGTCGCCATCTTTAAAAAAAGATAACGACCATCTTGGAATCATTTTTCACGGGTTGTTGACACGAGTAGATCACAGCCGGTTGTGAAAGTGCTTCGTGATGTAAAATTAATCATAATTAACTGCCGGAAATAAATAGTGATTATTTAGGAACTAGAATTAAAAGCAATACTATAGCAATACTATATGCATTTAAGATTATTGTGCAAGTATTATTATACATGAAAATATAAAAAAAATTGTGGAAATAAGCGTCGAATAAATGTCACGAATATAAGCAATCTTGACAAAGTCGACAGTTAAATCTTATCATATTTAACTAGAATTTTATAAAGAATTATTTTCAAAGTTATATTCGTGTATGTGATAGAAAAATTGTGCTGCTAGAAAAAAGAAGATACGAAACACTAAAAATACATCTTGTGAAGAAAAATGGTTTCGTGCACATGGTGACACCTCTGGTTAGTTTATGCTTTCTATAAACAATTTGTCATACTTTATTTAAAAGTAATTTTGATTATGTATATGCTTATTTTATAATTAAATTAAAATTAGTTATAAAATTATATTACATAAAGAATTTTTAAATAATAAATACATATAAATTTTTTATAAGACTCAAATTCATTAGTCTGATAGCTTATAATGGCGAAATACAACGTACGTTTACTTTAATTTTTGTAAATATTATTAGATTACTCATTGCGCATTATTGATATTTTATAACATCTGCCAATGATTTTTAATGTTTATACATAGCATATAAAGTTTTTATTGCACATAATAAAATACTTTATAATTAAATACATAAATTTATTTTTTAAATAATATTTGAAATTTCATTTATCTATTAATGTTTATCGTTAAATCTAAGATTAATGTATTATCATAATAACTATTAGTGAAAAATTTGAAATATAGTGCAGATATTTCATTTTTTTATTTAGATCTGAAAGATGATTAATTATTTAAAAAAAGATGATTAAGCAAAATTAAAAATTCAAACAAATGTAATGTTTTAATATACCCATATTAAAATATTTAATATACTCATATAATAAAAAAATATATACGTTTAATTTAAAATTTATTTTTATTTTCACAATATATTAAAATAAATAAAATTTATATCTCTTAATATGATTGTTTATTATATAATAAAATAATTTTTTATTATACTTATTATATTTTAAATATGAATCATATTATTTTAATGTTATTAAAATATAATAAAAACATTTTTAATCATAAAAATATATTATATTATTATATTATTTTTTAATATATTGAAAATTATTAAAATAATAAATACTATAAAAAATAAGTTAATAAATAATATTATTATATAATAATTGATTTTATTTTTATTCTTTATTTTCTTTATTTTTAATTATTAAATAATTTTTTATCTAATAATTAATAACATTATAACATTCAAATAAATATATTATTAAATAATTTTTTATTTAATAATTAATTTATTATAATTTATTTTCAGTTATTATTATCTTATTTAATTATATTCTATTAAATAAATATTGAGATAATAAATATTATAGAAGATTTTTATTAAAGATAATTTTTTAAATGATACTTTTAGAATATTTCAAAAAGATTATATAAATGAAAGAAAGTTTGCTACATTAACCATATTATTTATTTTAAGCTACATTTAACTTCAAGCTATTATTACAAAGATGAGTACATAATATGCATAGTATATAATATAATAATAAAACATGTGCATTCCACTTTTCATACTTCAACTACAGAGAAAGGATTCAAGTATTGATTGCAAGAGCATGGTGTGCTATGGCAATAGGAGGAGGGTGAAGCCCAGACAAGACCCCACCTCTTTATGCTATGCCTTCTATTTAAGTCTTAAATCATTTCAGACAATCACAGTAAATATATCTAATATGTAGCACAATAAAATGTTCCATTTTAATATTATTATTCAATATTCTTTGTATTTCAAAAATATATATTTCTGTGTGTTTAAAAATCAATGATCTAATTTTATATTTATAAACATTAAATTTATATTTAAATATAAAATAATTTTGTACATAAATATTTTTAGTGTCAACAATAACCAATAATATATATAGTAACAATATATTTTGAGTTATTTCATGCATAATCAATTGCTTCTATATTATATATATATTAATATATTTTTTCAGATGGAAAAAATAATATATAAAAACATGATAAATATAAAAAATATATGAATGACAATGGGCTGAAATACGAATATAATTAAATTATAAAACTCTCATCATTTTTATAAAAGAGAGGTACAGATAATAATGGCATTTAATAATGATAATAATTAAATTATTTTTATAAAAAAATTATCACATTTATAAACCATTGAAACAATTTTTAAATATTATATTATTTTACTTTCTTGTTAAAGGAAATAAGTCATGGCAACAGTAGAAGAAAAAAAACGAGTTGGTGGCTCAAAGGTTTCAGCCATTGCAAATATCTTCCAGTCAAAACCACAATTGGATAATCTAAGTCATAGAACAAATAATATTCTATCAGATGGTTTCAAGGAACCAGCTGTGCCTTTAAAAGAATCTCCAACACAAGTTACAGTTGTGAGAACTGAAAGTCATGTAGCTCGATTTAATAATGCACGTGCACTTTTTGAAAAACTTGGAGAAGAAAATAAACCAAATAAACCGTAAGTATATAAAAAAATAAATAAATATAAAAAAAATACATAAGAAATTATACATATTTAATTATTTCTAAAAACATACTTTTGCATAGGGTGGACAGGATTACAAAGCCTAGTAATTTACATGGCTTAAGATCACGTTCTAGCTCTGCAAATTCTGGATCAGGTTGTACATCTCCAGCTAGATCACCACGTCCTAGATCACCATCACCTCCAGGAACCAGAGATCACTTGAGCAATTGGAGTGCAAGTGTACCAGCCTTAAATGCTGAAAGACATTTTGAAAATGGTCACAATCATGGTTTAGATAATGTACCAGATAAACATAAATCACGAACAGGATTAGGGAAATTTGACAAAAATTATGGCAAAGAAAATCGTTTGGATGATCGACCGGAGAAACCAGAAAAACCAGAAAGAAGATTGAACTCAAAAGAATTAATTGAAAAGCAAAAAAATTGGACTAGTCATTTTTCAAAAACAAGACCAAGTAGATACAATTCAGATCCAAATAGATCTTTAGTTCAAAGTTCATTAAATCAGAGTGCAAATAAAGTAAATGTTGAAGTTGCTTCTGTAGGGCATTTACAAAATGCTACAAATACTGATAATGAAACGAAAAGATCAGCAGATATTTCTGCTAATCCAGCCACAAGATCTGCAAGCTTTTGTTCTGTTAGATCATCAGTTATATCTCCACCTCCACCACCACCACCAACAAGAAACTCTTCTACTTCAAATACAAAAAAAGAAGACCAGCTAGTATAGCAGCAGTATCTCCTCCAGATATACCTAGCAGTCCAGAATATGCTACCATAAATAAATATTTTGATACTTCATCAACAATACCTGAATATGCAGTTGTACAAAAAAGTACAAATATACAAAATAAAAATTTCCAAAGAAATCAAGAACAACGAGAAATTTCAAAAAATGTTTCCAGTCCTATACTAGAAAAGACGCAAGATGTGTGTATGCCAGAATATGCAGTAGTGCAGAAAAATACTACAGCAAAAGTACATTGCCGAAATACTGATATATCAAAAAATAATTCACATCATTCAAAAAATATCAACAATTCTGAAAGTAATTTATCTCTTAAAAGTACTCTTGCAAGTTCAAGTATTGATATTTATTCACAAACAAAATCACATATTTCTTCCTGTGAAAAAAATTCTGATATATCTAGTCCAACACGAAGTATGTCTATAGAGAATATTATTAGTATGACTGTAGAAAGTAAAACAAAAAAAGATAGCGATTTACTTGATGCTCCTGAATATCTAAACTATCCTTCAAACGTTATATGTTCACCACCTAAAACATCTGAGTGGAGAAATGAATGGTTAGCCAAAAATGATGAAATTTTAAAGAAAGCTACAGATTTAAAATGTGCCAGAGAAGAAATGGAAATCAAAAGCGAAGTTATAAGATCTGATCCACGACCAGATTGGGCCAGACCATGTATAAATACAGTGAGAAAAAAAGATAGTTTATCAGAAGAAAAGAAAGTGGAACCGTCAAAATCTCCGGATCCGGAATTGAGACCACCTTCTGGAGGTACGGATAGTGCATCTTCTAGTATGAGCTCCCCTAGCTCCCCTTCTAAGGATAGTAAAGAAGAGAAGGCAGATAAGGAAATGTCAGAAAAGTTTCAAACTGGTATAGTATATATGACCAATTTCCAATAATATAATTCACATCTATATAGAAATGTATAATAGTAAATATATTTTATATATATATATACAAACAAACTTAATTTAAATTTATCTTTTAATAACTGATTTTTATATATTTTATTAATTACTATAAAATAATTATTTCACAATATATTTAAATTTTGCAATTTTATTTTTATGGCTATGTGCCAAAATACTAAAAAGTAATAGTATAAGAGGAAATTTTTCTCCTTTCCCCTTTCCTCCTCTTCTAGATGTTAATTCCTCCTACTGGTTCATCGGTATTATTTATAGAAATCTGTGTATTCTGTTCTGCTTCTGTCTGGTTCTACTTCACATCATTTATTTCAGAAAAGTATTTTACATATATTAATATTTTGTTTACCAGTATTGTTTATAAAAAAATTTATTCAAAATTAATATTAATTTTAATTTAATAAAATAATTTATTTTATGAAATTGAATATATATGGATAAATTATCTTTTATAATGTGTTAAATCTTTTGCATTGTGTTTTTAGAAAGATTTAAAAATACTATTTTAAAATAATAATTAAATTTTATTATAAAATTAATTTTTAAAAACAATTTTTTAATTTTTTATAACATATATATGTTATTTTATTTATAATATTCAATACATTTTTATCTAAGATTTTATTATGAAAAATTTTAAAACATTCGAAAGTATAATTTTAGTTTAAAAAAACTGAATAAATTTAAAAATGTTTTATTATGCATATGATTTTTCATTTTAATTTTATAAGTTGTTTATTATTTTATATATATATATATATATATATATATATATATATAATACATGTGTCTC